CAGCTTAATATCTGCATCTGTGCAGACTCCATAACTAATATTTGCCAGGCATTTTCTTAGCTTCCCATCATTTGCTGTCTGGCGCTTCTGTCTCATGTTCTGCTTCAGAATAACCACTGTAGTAAACCGGTGCCAGAGAGCCTTGCCAATAGCTGCCTTCTGGCTGTGTACAGAGTTTGTAGAGTGTGGGGCAGATGTAACACTTCCAGCATACAAGGCATTACCAGAGGCTATAGGAGGCAGCTGAGCAAAGTCTCCAGCTATAATGATGTTAATTCCTCCAAATGGCTCATCACGCTTATTCCTGGCTATACACATCTGCTCACAAATCTTGTAGAACTCATTGTTATCCACCATTGACACTTCATCCAGGAAGATATACTCTCCACCATGCAGATTGTCTACAGCAGCAGATGCTGAACTATAACTTGAATATTTATCTTGTCCATCATAGGCACTGAAGCCCAGCACATGGTGATAAGTAGATCCTCCAATGAGTGAAGCTGCAGCTCCAGTAGGTGCCATACACAAGAATCTATGGCCTTCATTGCGCCCCTCGAAGAAGTGTGTAAGAGCTTTGATTACTTGTGATTTTCCTGTGCCTGCCATGCCACCAAGGTATCTTGAGCTGTTCACCACAGGGCTTGCTAGCATGGTTGGCAATGATGCAGAAGGGTCTCCTTTGCTCTCTGTTTAAGGTAAACTTCGTGATAGTATCATCAACGAGCTTTTTGGACTCTGGAGATGGAGGTACAAAGGAGTCATCCATGTATGACTTGTCAATGATTTTAACAGTGTTGGTATCCTCTGAATTATTCTGTGCCTTTGCCTTCATAGCTTCACTTATCTGACCATGCTTAGCCTTGGGAATATCTGCTCTCTTGTTTGCCAGAAGCTCTTCCCATCCATGTGCTGACCTTTTCCGACCAGACTGGACCTTGATCTGTGTGATTCTTGCCTTGATATCTTCACTAGACTTGCCCATGGCTCCAGTAAGTAGTATGTAATAAGGGTTCAGCATCTTGCATCTTAGACAGTCTGGCAATATGTCCTCTTGACTATTCCTTGTACTCATCAGCTATCTCAGTAAGCTGCTCTTCACTAAGCTGATCAAGTGATTCAACACCATAGTAAAGATTATCTAGATACTCTTATATATCCTGATCTATATTAGATGGTGTATCACCTGAGACAGGGCCCTTCTTTCTAGCTGCAGCATAATCATCTCTGGCATCATCACGAGAGAAATTTAGAAATCTTTTGTCGCAAAAAAAGAATGCAAAAAAGGCTTGATAAAACGAGTAAAAAAGGCCATACTCTTTGCTCGGTATCTGGCAGTCCAGCAGCTTGGCAACCTGGTAGTCGAGCCGATTATCCGCTGGGTGCCACCGTTCCCCGGGCGTTTTGACAAACAGCCTGGCGGACAGTCGGCTCAGCTGCCGGGTTGCTGAGTTGCCGGGCTGCGAGATACCCAGAAAAAATACGACATCTTCTTATTTATTTTTACAAGCTGTTTTTGCATTTTTTTGCAATAAAAAGTTCTGAATTTCTCTGGTGCATTACACTCATAGCGCACTTGGAAGAATTTTATGAGCTCTGATTTGTCTTGGAGTGGAGAATGATTTCCAAAGGTATATTCTAGCTGGCCTGTTCTGACTTGAGATTTTTTTCAGCGCACCAGGGCTTGAACAGAGTGAGCACGGTGGTGTATCTTTCCTAGATGATGCTTCATCAATAAAGTCTGAGACTTTGGCTTCTGCCTCTGTGCACATGTGTACATGATGTGTCCTTTATACTGTGGATGGTCTTCTGTGAGTCTTGCCTATGCTGTGAAGTTACTTGGCTCATCAGAAGTAGGAATATCCCGGTCAGAACTATTCTCATCTTAGCTAGACTCCTGCTTGTATTCAATCTTCTCTTTATCCAAGTCATCTTGTCTAGGGATGATCTTCAGTTGAGGTCCAATCTAGCTCCACAAGCTGATCAATCTCTACATAGTTCTCTTTCTTAACATGATCCTTGGCTATCCTTGGAAGGCCTTTGATATGCTTAACACCAAGCTTATCCATATATATGTCAAGGGCCTCCAAATGATTTGCCTCTGATTTGGATATCCAGGTCTGATCTCCAAGGTTTCACTTCACCAGAAACTTCAAACTTCGACCTATCCACTTGTGTGACATGATCTCATCTACAATATATTCTCCCTCTCTTTCATTGCAGCCATTCTCTTGGACATCTTGCCTTTCACTGATCTCCTTACCCAGTCATACAAGCACACTGGCTCATACTTCTGAGGTCTATACATGTAGTACATCACAGTGTCAACTCCAATGACCTTGCCTTCACTGATGGCTATCACAACCTTCCGATCTTCTGACTGGCTATTTCTGCCTTCTTCGCCAGATGCAGCAGATTCTCACGCTTTCCTGACCTCATTCACATATGATCTCCAATAGACCCTTTGGAATATGTGACTGGTATAATGGTCTGGATGGTTCAGCAGATACATGCATGCCATGGGGCCACCAATTTCATTTTGTGAAGTCAGGGAGTTTACAACTTTTGTGAGTACTTTCCTAGCCTTGACTGCTCTGCTAGGACTCCAGCTAACATCTCTGGCAACTATCCTCTTCACAGCTTCGAGCATGGTTGCATGTCTTCAATGGTGACTTAGTGATATAGTCTGTAACATAAGCTACAACAGACTTGATAACTGTGCCAAATCGTTAGCTTGTAACATCAGTGTTGCATCTCATGTGATAAGTACGCACAGGTGAGAAAGTATTAAGCATGGCCTCTGTCGAGTCAGCTGGCAAAGCCTCTGTGCGTCACTCTGCCCACTCTACCACTCTTGACTCCGCCTGTCACCTCCTCTGGATAGCAGACACAGGAGCCACTTCTCATATGACGCCCTACAAACACTGGCTTCACAACTACACCCCAATGAGAGTTGCTGTTCGTCTTGCAAACGATCACCTCATCTACTCTGAGGGTGTAAGGTCAGTAGTGTTCGCTCCAGAGGTCATCGGGAAGCTAGTGTGTGAGTTGGAGTTCAGTAGAGTGCTGCATGTACCAGAGCTCGGCTCCAACCTCTTCTCTGTTCTGTATCTCGTTCGTCATTGCAGTTTCAATGTTCACATCTATTCTGATCGCATGAACTTTGACCGTAATGGCGAGACAGTGTTCTGCGCCTCTATAAACGCCTTTAACACTGCCTACCTCGATGGGACGGTCATTCCTGCCATAGAATCTGCTCAGGTCGCCAACTCGTCCACTCTACCACTCGATGAGTTGCTCTGGCACCGTCGATTCGCTCATGCGCACCTCCAGAGTATTCGAGATCTATCCAAAGGCAACCTAGTACTGGGATGGAGCTCGACTCGAAGCAGGAGGCCGATCCCATGTTCAATCAGGGAGGTAAACTGGACCAGAGGAGTGCTGAAGACCACAACTGGAGGTTGTGGATGAGCAACTGAACTCTATTAAGGCGAAGATACAACTACTGACCTGGAGGTTGTAGATGAGCAACTGAAGAAGGCCCAAACACAAGCCTCCAGAGACATAAGGGTGCATCACAAGGCGCTTATCTACTTATCTAATCAGATCCAAGCCTGACACTGAAGCAGATGAAGTAGTGGTCTACTGTGAATAGAAAGCGAAGGAAAACAGCGAAAAGGATGAGGATATTCCAGGATATAGAGATATGGGAGAGAAGAATGATGATAAGGCAGAGAAGCTGTAGCATCACATACAACACAGGAAATAACACTCCCCCCTGATGCAGCATGCCTCTGCATCCAAAGCTCCCCCTAAATCTACTCCGTCTACTCTAAGCCCATAACCGACGAAGTGTAACCACTTTAATCAATGACAATGCCTTGGTAAGCAGGTCCGCAATCATCAAGTCAGTCTGAACATATTCTGGAGCAATCTGTCCCTCTTCAATCACATCGCGCAGCCAATAAAGTCGCATCTGAATGTGCTTGAGTCGTCCAAAGTGCTCAGGATTTTTCGCTACTGCAATAGCAGAGCTATTATCCATATAGAGCCTAGAGAGCGAACTCGACAGGTTGTAACCAAACTCAGAGAGCAGGTTGCGCATCCAAGCAATATTCCGACCAGCCTGATTGGCAGAAATGTACTCAGCTTCTGTGGTCGACTGTGCAACCACAGTCTGCAGCTTGCTGCTCCAGTCCACAGGTCCAGTACCCATCATCACCACATATGCACCAGTAGAGCGCAATGTATCCTTGTCCCCAGCATAGTCAGAGTCTGAATACGTCACAAACAGCTCATTTGTTGCAGCAGGACCGTAGGTAAGCTGCAAGTCGAGACTGCCTTTGAGATAACGAAACAGATGCTTGAACCCTTGCCAACGCTCCTGACCAAGATTTGCATTGAAGCGAGCCAGGAGCGAGACAGTGTAGGCAATGTCAGGATGGGTGCAGGTGGCCAGGTACATCAGAGAGCCGACTGCGCTGAGATAGGGCACATTGTGCATGCTAGCCTTGTCCTCTGCTGCAGAGGAGCTGCCAACAGCAGAGAGGCGTTTTCCCGGATCCGTTGGCGTCTGAACAGATGCACAGCTCGAGAATCCGTACTGCTCCAGCATATCGAGGATGTACTGGTGCTGTGACAGCTGAATGCGGCGATTCGGACGGTCTCTGGTGATCTGGATGCCCAGGAGGAACGATGTGGAACCAAGATCGCGCAGTTTGAAGTGCTGAGACAACTCCTGCGCGACCCGGTCAGACTCTGCAGCATTGGTTGAAGCAATGGTAATGTCGTCAATGAAGACGGGCATTATGATGCGCATTGTATCCCTGCGATAGAGATAGAGCGAAGCATCAGACTTCAACCAACTGAAGCCCAGCTTCTCACGCATTGCATGCAGAGTCTTGTTCCATACTCGCGGCGCCTACTTAAGCCCATAGAGGGCCTTGTGGAGGCAAATGACGTCACCTGGATTGCCAAAGCAGAAACCATCTGGCTGCTCGATGTAGGCCTCCTCCTCTAGCTCGCCATTGATGAAAGCATTGGAGATGTCCAGTGAGCGAAGATCGAGGTCCTCGAGAGCAGCAAGGGCGAGGACAATGCGAATAGTCGCCATGCGCACAGTGGGTGTGAAAGTCTCGAGTAGTCGAATCTTGGGCGCTGAGCATAGCCCTTGACCACGAGTCGCGCCTTGTAGCGATCGAGGTCGCCATTGGAAAGGAACTTCTGGACAAAGACCCAACGCGAGCCAATGGCCTTCTTGCCAGGAGGCAAAGTGCAAGGCTTCCAAGTGTGATTGGCAACAAGTGCGTCGATCTCTGCCTCTTCGCCACTCCTCTGCATCTGGACGCTTCATGGCAGCGTCCCAACTGTTAGGCCAAGCATTCTGTGCAGAGGTTGCCTTGAGGCACAGCTCATCAGTGGATGCTTCAGACGAAGCTTGCTGAGGACCATCATTGTCCTCATCCGCATTCTCTTCGTCAGAGATGGGATCCTGCACAGGCTGAGGCGGTGCAGAAGGCTGGACCTTCCACCACTCGCCAGGAGGCCTGACATTGTGCCTGGGACGACGCTCTGCCAGTGACGGTTCAGGGGACTCGATGCAATATCCAGAAGGCTTGGGCTGCTGCTGAGAATGAGCAAGAGGTGGCTGAGGGGATGGAGAGGAGGGGACAGAGGGCAAGTTGGCTGGTAGAGCATGAGGATGGACTTGATGATTGTCTTCAGCGGCTGGACGCTCAGCAGGCTCGTGTTGAGCACCATCATGCATCTCCCCCCGAACACGAGGCTGAGGAGGATCCACAGAGCCGGAAGACGGACCAGAAGGCGAGTAGAACTCGACCTCATGGGTAGAAGCCAGCGGAGAAGGCGACAAGGGTGGGTGGGCGCAGACAGAAGGGGTATCTGACCAGTTCCTGAGGCCAGGGAGATATCGCTCATCAAAAACAGCGCGTTCGGAGATGATAGCTCTTAGTGGACGGATTGTAGAACTTCCAACCCTTGTAGCCAGGTGGATAGCCAATAAACACGCACTTCTCCATGTGAGAGCCCAATGCGCCGCGTTTATCCTTCTGCACATGCACATATGTCAGGCAGCCCCAGATGCGCAAATGTGACACATCTGGTTTCCGGCCATAGAAGGCCTCATAGGGTGTTTTGCCAGGCAGCGCGGTGGTGGGGCAGCGGTTGAAAACGTGCATCAGCGAAGACAAGGCCTCTCTCCAGAACGACGGCGGTAAACCAGCCTCAGAGAGCATAGCAGTGAGTCCCTTTGCAAAGACGCGATTAAACCGCTCAGCTACACCATTCTGCTGCAGCCGATTGCGCACAGTGTGCCGTCTTTCGATGCCGTGCTCGCGGCAGAACTCCTCAAGCTCCTTGCTCATGTACTCGCCACCTTTGTCATCTTGAAGTGCGCCAATGTACTCTCCAGTCACGAGAGAAATTTGGAACTTTTTTGTTACAAAAAATATGCGAAAACAGCCTGAAAAAATAAGTAAGAAAATGCCATATTTTTCCTCCCGGTATCCGGCGGCCCGGCG